GGGGGGGGGGGGGGAGAAAGAGAGTAAAGGGGCGACGATGCGGACAAAAGAGGAGGAGGACGTAGGTAAGGTAGGTATGTAATAAGACTCACCTCTCTCGCTGGCTCCTTCGGTCGAGGCTCGGGTGATAGGCGACGGCGACGGCGCCGAGCCCCGCGTCTCCTCGGTCCCTCCTATGCCGCGGCGCTCGTGTTCCCCGTGGAGCCGCGTATCCTCGTGCCGTGTGAAGGCACGCGCGCGCCCGCGCGATCGATATCGATCGCCACTCTCGGGGGGCCCCACGGACGCCTTCTGTCTTCTGGTCGCCCGACGGTGGGAGTGCTGGCGAAGGAGGGCGAGACAGAGAACGAGTGTGTGTTTGTTTGTGCGTGCGTGTAAGAGAGAGAGAGAGAGAGAGAGAGAGAGAGAGTGAGAGAGAGTGAGTGAGTGAGTGAGTGAGCAAGTGAGTTAGATTGAGCGAGCGTGCGAGCGAGAGAGGGAGAAGAAGAGGAGGAAAACCGGCAAAGAGTGAAACGCGCGCGCGCGGTGGTGGTGCGTCCGCATGCGAGGATCTCGCAGGCATCGACTGGGGGCCACTGGTGGTGCCGCCGCCGCCTCGGTCTCGCTCGCTCTTGCCTCTCGGGCTGACTCGGCAGCGGCGGCGGCGCGGGCGGACGGCGGCCCTCGGGTGCCACAAGTGCTCGTGGCCGGGGCGCGCGGCGGGACGAAGCTCCGATTCCCGGAATCCCGCGCCGTAAACGGCGGGCGGCCACCGGGAGGGGCGGCCCGGGCGCACCACGTGACCAGCGCCGGCCCGACAGGCCACTTCCACAACGGCGTGGCTCGAGCGACCGGGCAGGATGGGGAAGGAGGAGCGGGCGAATGGGAGGGAGGGATTACAACCGCGGCCGGAGGAACGGGAACGTGGTGCGCTCTATCCACCCCACGTAGCTCGGGCGCTTGTTTACTCGACGGCGGCACCCGGCTCTACACGTGCGACACCGTCCCCGCTGCCGTCACCGCCACCGCCACCAACGCTGCCACCACCTCTACCACCGCCACTACTACCACCACTACTACCACTACTACTACTACCACCACCACCACCACCACCGCCGATTGTTTCTCACGAGGAAGAGGCGGTGCAAGCTCGGCGCTACAACTGCGATGATGCCTTTGAACACGACTCCCTGGGACTCGCTTCGTGACCCCCGGTGGTCTCCCACCAGCCCGGGGTGGCCATTCATAAAAACGCGCCTCACATCGCACAGCAGCGTATGCACAATTAAGGACGCGTCCGGATTGCAATTGATATTGCCGACGAGGTGCCCGACGATCGCTTTCGCTTTCCTTCTTCTTCTTCTTCTTAACCTGAACAGCCTCGACGGCTCCACGTCCCGCGCAACTGACGAAACTTGTTTATGGCGCGATTTTTATGAGCCGCATTTTCCTCCTCTAAGAACTCTCGTTCTTAATTTACGCGTGAATACTTGCATGAATTGGCTAATTTCCCCTCCGCAGCCCTCGTCAAATATTATTAACCTTGTTGGCTTCTCCTTGCTCGTCCGATAGTTCCGCAGCGACAAACGTTATCCTGAGAGGAGGACGACCGTACGTATGTATGGCCACGCTTGCCACGCTTGCCACACCGTTGCCCAGAAAATAAATTAACAATCCCCATTAGGAACGCTCTAAGCCTCCAATAAAATCTCAATTTCCTCGACAACGCGTTATAATTTCTCGTCATAATTCCCGTATCTTCACCGCTCGAAGGTATTGGCTCGCGGCTATTGGCATTTCGGTTAAAATTCACTCTACGGCTACTGCCGATTTTTCAATATTATTCTACCTTTTTATCTCCGAGGAAATTACCATTTTTCTAAGTTTATTTAGAGACGGGAAAGTACTGTGACAAAAACATCCTCTACATTTTATAAATTACAACGTGATACAGCTAACTAATGGAACTGCCGGATAATTTAGTATGCTAATAAAAAATTCCAATTTATATTCAATCTTATTGCTTCGGTGGATCGGTCAATTATACATATTTTGAAGGCGGCAATATATTTTAAGAAATTTAAATAAATGAAAACAGTTAACCTTCAAGTACAGGCGTATGTTTACCAACGTAAGCGCACTACTAGATCCATGAAAATAAACCGATTTTTCAATTGTTATGTTCTCGGATTGTCTTTGTTGCTCGTCGTATGTAACAGAATTTTTTTAAGACAATCAAAAATAGAAATTACTATTGTTTTTACATAATAAGCTCACAAAAAGAATATTATCGTGAATTAGCATGAAAAATTTGAGTCGAAATAAGCATTTACTCGGTACATTTCAAATAAATATTACATGAATTTAGTGTACTTTGCTAGTAGTACATTAGTGATTTTTTTTCTTCTTCTTCTCTTCTCCTATCGCTCTATCTCTTTCTTCATCTCTATCTCTATCTCTCTCTATCTATCTATCTCACTCACTCACTCACTCACTCACTCTCTCACTCTTTGTCGCTCTCCCTCTCCTTAATAGAATATTGTGTCAAATGCTTGTAATAAACACAATGGAACCAAATTGATATCCACAATGGTATTTTGGGGCAGAAGCGCGCGGGGGAGGTGGAGGGAGGGGTAGGGGGAGTCAATGTCGTAAAACGTATCGTTAATACATCAGTCATGCTGAGAAATGACGGGCAATTACATTACTTGCTAACTACTTGTTTTGCCAAAAGTATTTTCTAAATTTTTCACTTCTTCGGCTAATTAACCATCGACATAAATTTATATCGGTGATGAGGCGATACGGTACAAGCCACCTTATTACCAAATTAACGATAAAAGATAAAAAAAAGGTAATGGTAAACTTTTATTTTATTTTTTTAAAACTAATGATAGATTTAATAAAAATATTATTTATCATGTTATGTAAATGTTCAATAGAAATTCATCCCAATTATAGATAACTGACCAATAATTGATAATAATTTATAAAATTTATTACAAAAGTTGTTTATCTTCAAAATAATTTTTATGATCTTACGAATGATAATAACATTCTTGCCCCGAGTATTACAGTACACATTGGTCAATATGTTAATTATTTTTAAATGAAAGAAACCATATTGAAAAGCTTTAAAAACTGTTTAGAAATACCTCCCTATCAAATGTGTATGAATGTATATTTATATAAATAAACGGCTGCTGCTATATTATTAACAAATATTTCACATTAAAAAATCATCAAAGTAGTAGTTTCTATTACATATTAAAAATAATTAATAAACAATCATTATATAATACGAAGTCTCGTGTACGTGTAATTCATGAAAAATTCATTTCTTATGATTGCTTTTGATCATTAAAATTCGAGATAATCGACAATATTTTTTTATTTAAACATGCTTACAGTTTAAAAAAAATTTAAGTTGTCTAACGGAAATATATAGATTGTAATCTTATACATTAAAAAAAAAGACAGGAGAATATTTGTTTCTTTTTTTCAATATCAATTACTATTTCCATAATTATATGTATTTCATTACTCGTTTCTTTTACAATATCATTAATAATCAACAAAAATCTTTGTCGATCGGCGAATTCCACTCACTAATTAAATAATTAAATAATCTTAGAGATTAATCGATTATGTACTAGTAATATTAAGAAACACCTATGAATAGTTTATGTTCAATATTATTAACGTATCTATCTAAACGATATTTAAAGAATATCGTAAGGATTATTCAACTAAAACGAGAATGCTTTTATATTCTACTATAATTGGAAATAAAAGCTAAACAATATCATTAATATTAATTAATTTAATTTGATAAATTTAATGAAAATAATATATATTTTTCAATAAACATTATAAAAATTAAGCGATATATACTTTCTCTACTTTACTGACTTCTATATATATATATATAATGATCGTTACATTCTATCGCGGAATTAAATTATAAAATATAAATTAAATAATAAAAATAATAAAATTAATCGTATGGTTAAGTATATGTGCAATTTTTCAAACAAAACTAACAAATTTAGAGGTATAAATAGTAAAACAAACTAATCAATTCAAAATTTTATAATATAAATATTTATTTAAATTATACGAAATTTATAGAGAAGAAAAATAATAATCAATTCTTTTACTTACTCCCTGTCTAATAAAATAATAAATTTATTTCTATCTTTTAAAGAAAAACATAAAGCAAGCATGCAGATTCGAAATCGATAAAAATTATTTAATTGATGCTAAAACTGTATGTAACTATCAATAAAATTGAAATATTCATGCAGATAAATGAATATAAAATGTTACGAATAAATAAATTAGAAAATTATCAGCAGATTTAACAAACTCTCGGCTACCCTTATCATTTGTACAATAATTACGTCTCGGTACGTATTAACAAATCATTCGTTTTATATAAATATCTTCTTTTAATATTGATGACTGCGCCTCAACAAAATTTTATCGCCTTTAAATTTCGTTCACGAGTGTATTTAGAAGTGTACGTACATAGGAATTAAGATTAATTATGGAAAATCTTTGTCGTAGTAAGAGATATGACTTAAGTACTCTCTATAATTTCCTTCATATACGTATATTATGTAAAAAAATTTAAGATACCTCGTATTTAAGAATTCAATAATTTATATTAAATATAGATGATGTAGTTTGAATTCAATTTGACTTATCGATCCATGTTCTCGCATGGAAAACAATGAAAAACGCTTGCGACCATTCACATACAAACAATAAAAATTTAATTTAAAATTGTTAGTAATTTATTTCAAACATTAATTATTATATTGATCAATAAACAAGTATATAATAGCATTAATAGCATTTGACGTTGAAAAAAAATAAAAATAAATAAATAAATAAATAAAACACAGCTAAGAGACGAGAGAAATTTCGAAGGTCTAAAATAAAAGAAACTAGAATGGAAATATTATGCAAAATGGTACCATTTGATACGACATAATAAGAAATGTATAGTCAGTTACGTTGCAAATAACTGTCGAAACAGTAAAAAATTTGATAAACACAATCATATTTTTATATTATGTTTCGTTTATTCAATAATTAGTTTCTAATTTGACCAAAAAAAAAAAAAAAATTCATTTATAATTCATGCTTTTGAAATTTTTTCCGTACTACCTTACGTACAATTCGCGTTCAAAGTATTTCCTCGACAAAAAAAAAAAAAAAACTAAATTATACTTTTTAATGCCATATATTTACTTACTTGCCTTAATAAAAAAAATAATAACAATAATAATAATAAAGCATTTTTCAATATGGAATACCGGTTATAATTATTCGAGGATTACGATTAGTCTCGATCGTCATAAGTTTTGAATTTATCTGTTTAGATTATACGTTTACACAAGTGCAATGAAAATTGACGCATCGACCTTTATATGGGCATTTTCTTCATTTTCATCGAGTTTAGAAATGAAGAATGAAGAATAAAGCATTGACTGCTCGTCCATCCATTAAATCATGAATCAATATACGCGCGAGCAGAATTTGAATATGCACGGCTTACACGAGAATTACATCGTTCGCCTTTCAATGTAAGGGCGCAGCAGCTTTTTTTGGCAAAACATTTGAACTCTATTATGACTTATTACAAAACGCTTGCTTAATTCCTAAATTCTAGGATAATAACAACGAGACTTGTTGTTCGCCATAATTTATTATTTTCTATACCCACCAAGTAAATAAAGTTCCTCGGCACCACTTTCAGCGCCTCTGTGAATTTTCCAACCCACTCGACAGCATCGAACACCACGAACATCACACTCGGGCGATTTTCCGGTAAGCAGTGCTGCTTAAATTATTCTAAACGTCCGTATGTACACATCGCGATCGCACTTGACTTCCAATCGGTTTTGATCCGGGCAAATACTATCGTTTATTACGAATCGATACACCGGCCGAGCAGCAGCAGCAGCAGTAGCAGCAGCAATCGTGTCAGCAACAACAACAGCAACAGAAGCAGAAGCAGCAGCGAAAGCGCATAACAAACAGAGTCGTTCGTCTTCCTCCCTTTCCTCCTCGACGTCCTCCTACTCTTCCTCCTTAGCCGCCGTTGCCGCCACCGCCGCCACCGCTGCCACCGCCGCCGCTGCCACCGCCACCACCGCCACAGGTCACCTCCCCCGTCGTCGTCGTCGTCCTCGTCGTCGTCGTCGTCGTCGTCGTCATCGTCGTCACCGGCGTCATCGGCGTCGCCGCCACCGCCGCCGCCGTCACCTTCGCCGCTGCCGTCGCTTCCTCAGAACGCAAGCACTTTTGCGTCGGTCATAGACGCCGTTGCGGATTAAGCTTTAAAGGAGCAGCGACTCGTGCGCATGCGCGATATAGCCGATGCGCCGGGAGAGGCTCCGAATGCGAGAGCGGGAGAGCCGACCGGGAAAGAGAGCGAGAAGCAAAATAGTTTTCAAGGAATGGCAATTATCCCTCCGCGCTTGAGCACGCAGCGTTAAATAGACGTGCGGGGTTGTCCGGGGAAAGAAAAAAGCACGTAAATGTGGCTTGGAAAGTGATTTCCGAGAGAGCGGCGTCGTCGTCGTTGTCGTCGTTGTCGTTGTCGTTGTCGTCGTCGTCGTCGTCGTCGTCGTCGGTGGAGGCGGCGGCGACGGCGCCTGCAGAGCAACGATTTTGCCGATTGTCAGGTTTTCGCCTCTGCGATTGAATTCAATGTAATTGGCAATAATGAGCGAGGTCTCGCCGATTGATTGACAATTAGCTCGTATCTCTCCGCGAGCTCAGCCACCATTGCCTCCACTTTCGCCCTCCCCCCCCCCCCCCCCCCCCCCCCCCCAACTAC